AAAAATTAGTCAAAAAGTTATAAATAAAATCAAAAAATTAAACCAAAAAATTAACAAGTATTTCTTTTTTTCTCTATTTTTTTACATATTTTTTGATAAAAAATTAAAAAGTTATTTCAAACAAAAAAAATTTTTTACCTTATATTTTAACTAAAAAATTTAAAAATTATTTAAATAGTTTATTCTCAAGCCAATATTACTTTTTGTTTATTTTTGGAGGGAAAAAAAAATCTTGTCACCATTTTTAATTTATTCTTTAAAAAAAAAAATCAATATTAAACAATATCCCAGCAACATTTAATATGTAATTTTTTGACCATTTATAAATAAATAAGATTAACATATTTTCTATAGTATAAAAATATATTTGAAAAAGTTCAAAAAATTTATACCATCTTATATGAAAGTAAATAGAGCAAAAACATGTCATCTTCTCAAATTTACTAACATTTTAACATTACTTTGCTAATGATAGTAAATAAAAAATAATATGCAAATAATAAATTTATTCATAATATATAACATTACCTATTAAGCATAAATTTATAATTAATTTTGGTCACTTATGCTTATTCTTTATTTTTTCAAAACTGTAATTAAGTATAATTTTTGTAAGAAAGAACTTATTTTTATCATATTCTCTTATGCTTATTTTTAGTTTTTCTATCCTTTCTATATTCGGCATAAAATTTGTCCTCCATATCTAATTTGTATTAATATAAATTTTACTAATTATTTTAATATTATCCTATTTATTACAACTTTCACTTAAAAAACTCATTATGGTTGAGGCAGATACTTTATTGTAGAGGTACTGTCTAGTTTATATTAAATAGCTTGGCAATTCAAATTGAAAAAACTAAATCAGTAATCATTACAATTAATGAGTAATGTTATATAAGCAATATATATATATATACAAAATAATGTAGTTCATTGTGGACCTTTGATTTTAAAATAAAACACCATTAAAAATGAATTTATTTACAATACTAATAGTATTGTTATATCATTCTTACTAATAAATTTGTTTATAATTTTTTTTTTTATAATTTAATAAAGAAATAACAATCACTTTACCCAATGATTTCGTAAAGATATTATATGATAGAAATAGACACCATACCATGCATCCTAAATTATTTATTTGTAGTAAAAATAAATAAATAAATAGAATTGGTTCCTCTAAATTGGAGATAATCAATTTAACTAATATATATGTATTGGACTAGCCAAAAAAGAAAGAAAAAAGAATACATATGCAGTAGAAAATTATAATTATCTACTGTAATTCGATATGATATTTTTTTATATTTGTAAATAATTTTCATTGGTTAATAAAAAATATTGAGTTAATTAGGTTTATAAATTTAATTTTATATAAGCTATTTTTATGTAATAATGTAAGTAAAACTTGTGCTCCCTTCGTTTTAAATTGTTGGGATAATTACAAAAAAAATATAAAAAAAAGTTCATAATTTACGTCTTTTATCAAAATAAATCCTGACTTTTGAATTTTATCAATTTAAACTATAATTTTTTGATTTGTTTTCAATATAAACCATTAGACTACTTCTGTTTAAGTAAAATCAATAAAAAAAATAATCTTTTAATCATTAAAATTAATGTAGGTATACACAAAATATTTAAAAAATATATAAATTTTCATGATTTAATAACTAAAATACCTATTTTTCTATCGATTTTACTTAACAAAAATATGCAACCCATTGCAAAGAAAACAATTACAAAATAATTAGTATTGAAAATGAATAAATTATAAAATATATAATTATCTATGAGATGAAGATTGATTATTATTTTATAATTATTTGCTAAATAGGAAGATGTGATTTACTTGGTAAAAAAAAAATTACTATGCCAAATATTGTTCAAATTACCTAGAGAAATTGTTAAGCATTGAAATTAAAATTACAAAATGTATTGAAAATACATTTCAAAAAAAAAAAGGTTAAAAACAAAAAAGAAAGATTTGTGTTCTATGACAACCATTACGAAGAAAATGATTAGAAAATTGGAAAGAAAATTCACAATACCTTGGGACTATGATAGGCCTCCATGGATGGGATTAGTTTGTCGTTAATATCACTTAGTAGTTACTAACACCGATTTGTGTCCTCTTTTATGTTAATTACACTTACAAGTCTAATTTCTCACACTAGTTACTAATACCGATTTGTGTCCTCCTTTATGTTAATTGCACTTTCTCACACTAGTTATTAACACCGATTTGTGTTCTCCTTTATGTTAATTCCACATACAAGTGTAATTTGTCACACTAGTTACTAACACCAATTTGTGTTCACATTTATGTTAATTGCACTTACAAGTCTAATTTCTCACACTAGTTAGTAACATCGATATGTGTGTCCTCATTTATGTTAATTGCACTTATAACACAGTAACTCATTGTGTACTCAATTTTACTCTCTTCTTTGAAGTCTAATATCTCTCACAAGTTATTGTTAACGAGGGCCGGTTTATTTTAAGAGATGGGAGGACTTTTGGATAATATCATCACTAACAATGCACACATTAACAATCCTACTCAACTTAACTCTAAAAACAATCTATATGTATTCTCTTTTTGTTAATCACACTTATAACATAATAATCATATGTGTAGCCTACTTTCCAGAAATATGCCAAATTAACTACCTTAACTATTTATTTGAATATCACAGGCTGTTGGATTGGAAGTCTAATCTCTCTTACTGTCTACAGAATGGTCAGTTGGAAGTCTAATCTCTCTCACTGACTATAGGATCCATTTGTTTTTGGTAGTAGGAGATGAGATTGGATTAGGATGGATGTGGGATTCACTAATATTGTGTTTGTTTGCAAAATTGGTGTTAGGTTGATTGGGATTGTTATATTCTGCTTTAAATTGATACATAATCACAAATCAACATCTAGGGGATTTCTAGATTTTTCAATTGGAAAGAAAATTCACAATACCTTAGGATTATGATAGGCCTCCATGGATGAGATTAGTAGCCCCCCATGGAAGATGATATTAGAAAAACAATCCCTTGGGATTCGAGGGGGATTTACTATTTTACCCTCTATTATCCTACTTAATTTACTTACTCTACTTGATTGGAATGGTCTTTTCTAAGAAAGATTTTTTTTTTTTAATTATTCCACATTTTTTTACTACACCATTCTTTCTATAAAAATAATTCAATATAAAAATATAATGGTGTAATAATATTTATACTAAAAAAATTATATTAAAAATATATATTTATGAAATATAATTTTTAATATTAAAATATAATCTTTTAGAAATTTGAATAGGAAAATAAAGTATAAAATATAAATAAATTTGTTTTTATTTATAAAATTATAAAAATAATTTTCATTTTAATCATAAATTTTGTTTATTTTTTTCACTTTTAATAATTTTTTTTAAAATTTGGTAGGCATTACCTTATTGATTTGGAAAATATTAGAGGTCCCAAATTTTCTACCAAAAAAATATCAAATGTCTCACATGAATGTGGAGTCCACAAAATATGAACCTCACACCTATGTGAGACATTTAATCATTTATTTAGTAAAAATTTTGGTATTTCTAACATTCCCCTATTAATTTAGTAATTGACAAATCAACATGGCAAACAATGAGAAGAAATTGTCATCTCTATTTAATGCTCTACCCTGCTCTGCTACAAACAAGCTGTGTACTTATACAAAAAAGATGTGAAATGGTCATCTCCACACAATATTTTGCCCCATTTTCTCCATCTTCTTCTGGAAGCTTATTGCTTTCTTTAAAACAGGTTTTTAGAGCTTTGGTCTCTTTCTGAACCATTTTTCTTCCTTTCTTTCATTACACCTCTTCTTCCCATTTCAGAGGAGTTAAAGCTGCAAATTCCATTTCAAAAAAGAATTTTAAAGCTCTTGCAACTACCTGCAAAAATTTAAAGGTACATTAGAAAAATCAAGCAAAGGCGTGTTTTAATTCTTTCTTTTACTTATTTCTTTCCCCTCAAGTTTAATAACATCAAGGAAGTACTTTACTTTGATTTCACATAACTTTCATATAATAATCATAAAGGCTCTGTTTGTTTGAATTTATGGAAATTTGTTTTTATTTTTCAACTAATTTCACAAAAAAATTAACACAAAAAAATTAATGTCATCCTGCAAACATTAATTTCATATAATAATCATAAAGGCTCTGCTACTTTTTTTTTTTTTACATACATATGCTCCTACAGGTATAAATAATGTCATCCTCAAAATCTACTGGCAAGGAAAAGTAGAAGGGGAAAGGAAAATCTGTTGTACTACATCCAGCGAAACCTCAAGGAATTGAGTTTGATGATAAACCATTGTGAAATCATGTTAAGGTTCTTAGCATACCAATAGGTGGGAGTGGAAATAGATATTGGTCCTGCAACTATTGCAATAAGAAAGTGACAGGTTCATATTCAAAAGTCAAGGCTCATTTGTTGAAGTTTCCTAACTGTGGAGTGGAAGCCTGCAAAGCTATAAAGGATGATGTTTTTGAAACACTCAAAAAGGAGCATGAAGTGGCAGAAAAAAGAAGAGCTCAATAACAATTGGATGTAAGAAAAAAAGCAGATTATGTGTCTCTACCTGAAGGATCAGACTTGCTTCAAAACAAAAAAAGAAAGGGTTCAATTTTAGGACCTTTGGCAGCTGCATTTAATGTGGCAAAAAGAGACATTGCTGATAAACAAGATGATTATAAGTTTTATACCTCTGCTGTGTCCTGTAATTTAGCAAGGTGTCCTTATTTTAGAAAATATTCACAAACCTTGGCAAACAGCAAACTATCTAGTTATTCTCCCCCAACATACGATAGGTTGCAGACAACATCGCTTGCACAAGAAAAGGCACATGTGAATAGAAAGCTTCAGCCCATAAAAGATTCATGGAAAAACAAAGAAGTATCCATATGTTCTGATGGATGGTCAGATACACAGAAGAGGCCGCTTATAAACATAATGGCAGCATCTATTGGTGGAGCAATGTTTGTGAAAGCAATCGATGCAAGTGGAAATATAAAAGATACAGATTATGTTGCAAACATATTTTTATCAGTGATTGAAGAAATTGGGAAGCAGAATATTGTTCAAATTGTTACAAATAATGGATCTAATTTTAAGGCTGCTGGGTTGACAATTGAAAATAAGTATCCTCACATTTTCTGGACACCATGTGTAGTGCATAGTCTGAATTTGGCATTAAAGAGTATGTGTGAACCTCCCCTCCTCCCAAAGTTCATCCCAATATTCTGCATGTAAATGGATAGCCAACTTGGTCACTGATCCTCATAATATAAGAAATTTCATAGTGAATCATAACTTGCCAAATGCCATTTTCAAAAGTTACTCAAATTTGCAATTACTTAGGGTTGCAGAAACACGGTTTGCATCATACATTGTCATGGCTAAACGTTTGAAGGAAGTAAAGCCAACATTAGAGAAGATGGTGATGGATGCAGGATGGAAGATTTGCAAAGGAGATGGAAAGAATCTAGTGGATGCTAAAGCTCGTAAGGTGAAGTAACTCATAGTAAATGATGTTTGGTGGGATGACTTGGATTATCTTTTGAGTTTTACAGAGCCTATTGTTGACATGCTAAGGGATGCAGACACTGATGCTCCTGTGTTACATTCTATATATGATATGTGGGACACTATGATAGAAAATGAGAAAGCAATTATATTTGAGCATGAAGACAAAGATCATATCACAGGACAATCAGATTTCCTTGACACGATTCATGAAATTTTAGAAGCTAGATGGACCAAAAGCAACACATCTTTGCATTGCATAGCTCATTCCTTGGTCCCTAAGTATTATCATGAGTCTTGGCTTCAAGGTGGAAGTAATGGCATTCGGCGATTGGCACCGCATGAAGATGAAGAAGTGTCTACTAATAGGAGCAAGTGTTTTGAGCGGTTGTTTCAAAAAAATACAACTCATCTGTGAAATGTTTATGCTGAATATGGTGCTTTTTCAAGTAGATCCGGCTATTTCAATCAACCACATGTTATTGAAGCAAGAATGTATGAGAAGCCAATTTCTTGGTGGGTTAATCATGGTGCTTCAACACCATTGTTGCAAGGGTTAACATTTAAGTTGCTGTCACAACCAACTTCTTCATCATGCTGTGAGAGAAATTGGAGCACCTATGGTCATATTCATAGCATCAAAAGAAATAGGTTTGCAAGTAGTAGAGCTGAAGATCTGGTCTTTGTACATTGCAACATATGGATGTTATCAAGAAAGAAAAAAGAGTACAAGGGCGGGCCTTCAAAGTATTGGGATTTATGTAAGTTTTCTAATTCATTAATCTTGTTCTGTTCTTCTACTAGTTAAACTTAAACACATTTTTTTTTTTTGGGATTAGTTATTGACTTTTGCATGATTGTAGGTGGAGATAGGTTTGACATTAATGGATCTCCAATTGAGTTTGCAGAACTTTCCATCAATGAACCTGAGTTGGAGCTTGTGACTTTTGATGATGCAATGGAGGATGTTCAGCCTGATGATGTTGGTCACGGTTAAGACTTAGATGCTTAGCTTTTGGACTAGCTTGACTTGATCTTTTGCATTTTCATATATTGATGTTTATGTAAAAGACTATAATCTGTTTTTTTTTTTTTTTTTAAATTGACATTTTGTGGTGTGGTGGAGATGATTAGTGATGCAGAACAGGTTCAAGTTCAAAGGAAAATTAATTAATGGATACATTGGATACATTTCATTCCTTGTATTCATTGATACATTGGATTGTATTCATGTCTTTCAAACTCTTCAAGGTCTAAATGTTAGGTTCTTTGTATTTGATACATTTTATTTGGTACAAGAGTTTAAAGGAGTGTTTTAGTATTTATTTCTATATTAGGAAATTCACAGATTGAGTATCTAGTAGTTAGTATAAATATGTTTGTAAGCCCTGTGGCAAAAAAAGATAGAAAGAAAGAAAAAGAGTTTTTTTAAGAATATAACCAGAGTTCTCTCCATTTGCCTTGTGCGCAAGGTTGTTTATCTTTGCTCGTGAATTCGAGTTGTTACCGTCCGAAGAACAATATCCTCCCCATCATCTACTAGAACGATATCTAGTCATTCATTCCATTACAACGCTGCGTCAAGTGGTATCAAAGCGAGGTCCTCCCTTGTCTCAATGGCCAACGACAATGAGACTTCACCAAAATCTAACAATAAAGCTGTGTGGGGTGCAATCAAGAGGCAACAACAACAGTTGGACCATATCCTTGGTCTTCTTAATAGATTGAATCTTAACACCGAGAGAGCAACAACAGAGGATCCTGTTGCGCCTCGCGGCCAACATGTTCGTGAACCAAGGGTAGGCAACAATCCTGGACGCTTAGGGGTTCCTCCTAGGCGTGTTGTAAACAACCCAGTTTACGACAGATGGTGATCTTAAGCAGATCGCAATGTACGAGGAGCCCAGAGAAGGTGTTCGATATAACAACAATAACTACCGTATGAGGATGGACCTCCCTTCCTTCAATGGGCAATTAAACATCGAAGATTTTCTGGATTGGTTGAATGAGTAGAACGGTTCTTCAATTACATGGATATCGAAGAAGAGAAGAATGTGAAACTTGTTGCGTACAAACTGAAAAGCAGTGCTTCTGTATGGTGGGAGCAATTGCAATTGTCTAGGATGCGACAAGGCAAGAGTAAGATTCGGGCTTGGCACCGAATGAAGTAATTGATGAGAGCACGTTTTCTTCCTCCAGATTATGATCAAGTTCTGTTCCATCAGTACCACCGATGTCAACAAGGTGCCAGATCAGTCCATGAGTATTCTGTTGAGTTCCAGCGACTTTCCTCCCGTAACGACTTACCAGAAACGGAAGGACAATTGGTGGCGCGATTTGTGGATGGATTGCGTACAAATCTACAGGATGTGGTTAACATGCAACCGATTCATACGTTACTGGATGCCATTCAATTGGCAACAAGGGCTGAATTGCAATTAGCCAGAAGAATGAGTTTTCGAAATCAGTCCTCTACCAAGACAGTCATGCCTTTACCAGTACAAAATCAGTCCAAGCAGGGTAAAGGAAAAGTAGTCACTGAAGCAGGTCAGAGTCAAGCTTCTCAGAATCAGAACAAGGCCCCATGGAAAGGTTAGACTCATACAAAGACGAGTACAAGTAGTTCAAGAACACAGAGTGACCCTTACGCTCCATCACGAAGTGATAAGTGTTACCGTTGCGGAGAAGTTGGACATTATTCTAATCGTTGTCCCCAGGGACGTACTGCCAACGTAGTTGAGCATAAAGAAGAAGGCAGACAAGAGGAGGAGAATTTCGAAGAAGAAGATCCAACAGAATGGACCCATGAAGATGAGGGTGTATCGCTTGTTGTACAGCGTTTGATGTACACACCATGGAAAGAGGATGTTCAGAGGCACAATATCTTTAAAACTCGTTGTACCGTCAACCAGCGAGTCTGTGATTTGATTATTGATGGAGGTAGCAGTGAAAATATCGTGTCAAGGACTATGGTTGATAAGTTGAATCTTCCAACAAAGAAACATGTGTCTCCTTATAGTATTGGCTGGATCACAGATGTCGATGAAACAAAAGTAACAGAACAATGTGTTATTCCTTTCTCTATTGGGCCAAATTATAGAGATGAGGTTTTGTGCGATGTGGTCGACATGAATGCTTGTCATATGTTGTTGGGTAGGCTGTGGCAGTTTGAGTTGAACACTGTGCATAGGGGAAAGGAGAATACTTACACCTTTTACAAGGATAAAGTAAAAGTTGTCTTGGCTCTTATGAAGCATGAAATCTGAGTAACAGCCTCCCTAACCAATGCAGAATCTTTCCTTATAATACCAGATTTTATAAAAGAAGTCAAGGAAACACAGTTGGTTTATGCTTTAGTGGCCAAGGGTGAAGAACAAGAAAAAGTTATCATTGCGATACCAAAGCGAGTTAAGCCATTAATTACCGAGTTTCAGGGACTTGCGCCAGATGAGCTGCCAGCAGGGTTACCTTATATGCGGAACATCCAACATGAGATTGATTTTGTTCCCAGAGCAAGTTTACCAAACCTGCCACATTACAGAATGAGTCTGAAAGAGTTTCAGATTTTGCAGGACCAGGTTAATGATTTACTGCAGAAAGGTCTAATCAGAGAGAGTATGAGTCCGTGTGCAATGCTAGCCTTGCTAACTCCAAAGAAAGATGGAAGTTGGAGGATGTGCATTGACAGTAGAGCCATCAACAAGATCACGGTAAAGTACAGATTTCCTATACCAAGGTTAGATGATATACTGGATAAATTGAATGGTTCGAAAGTATTTTCAAAGATCTATTTGAAAAGTGGTTACCATCAGATACGTATCCGCCCCAGTGATGAGTGGAAAACAGCATTCAAGACAAGAGAAGGGTTGTATGAGTGGCTTGTTATGCCATTCGGATTGTCTAACGCGCCGAGTACATTCATGCGATTAATGAATCAAGTATTCCAACCTCTTGGAAAGTTCGTAGTTGTCTATTTCGATGATATCCTTATTTATAGTCATGATGAAGAAGAGCATATGCAACACTTAAGGAAAGTTTTCAATGTTTTGCATGAGAACAATTTATGTGTGAATTTGAAAAAGTGCAGTTTTTTGACAGGCAGCTTGATCTTCCTGGGCTATGTTGTGAGTGTCGAAGGGATCAAGGTTGATGAGGCTAAGGTTAAAGCCATTCGAGAGTGGCCAGCCCCAAAGTCCATTACCAACGTACGCAACTTTCATGGTTTGGCAACTTTTTATAGACGTTTTGTGCGGAATTTTAGTACCATTGCTTCCCCACTCACAGATTGCATGAAGCATAAGCAATTTGTGTGGACTGATGCTGCAGAACAGAGCTTTGCGGTTTTGAAAGAGAGGTTGACCACAACACTGGTTTTAGCCATGCCAAACTTTGATAAGTTGTTTGAGGTTGATTGTGATGCTTCCGGTATTGGCATTGGAGCTGTTCTTTCTCAAGAAGGTCGACCCATAACCTTCTTCAGCGAGAAACTTAGTGATGCTCGACAGAAATGGACGACGTATGAGCAAGAGCTGTATGCAGTAGTACGAAGTTTGTACCATTGGGAGCCATATCTGATTCAATGGGAATTTGTGTTAAACAGTGATCACCAAGCTCTCAAGTATCTTCAGAATGCTACCAAGCCAATCGAATGCATGCCAGGTGGATTGCTTATATACAAAAGTTTACCTTTTCTGTTAAGCACAAATCTGGTCAATTAAATAAAGTAGCTAATGCGTTGAGTCGACGAGCTTCTTTACTTATCATTGCGAAAAATGAGATTTCTGGTTTTGAACATTTGAAAGAGCTTTATGTTGATGATGAGGATTTTAAAGATGCATGGGCACAGTGCAATTCAGGTTTTCAAGAATCTAGCAAATACCTGCTACTTGAGGGATTTTTATTCTTCGATGATCGTCTTTGTATTCCTCGCGGGTCTTTGCGAGAGCACATTATTCGAGAAACTCATGGTGGAGGCTTGGGAGGGCACTTGAGGCGATACAAGAACATCGCTATGGTCGAATCTCGATATTATTGGCCTCAGTTGAAAAGAGATGTGGAGAGGTATGTGAAGCGTTGTTACACATGTCAGACTGCGAAGGGTCAAGCACAAAATACTGGATTATATACGCCTCTTCCTATTCCAGAATTTCCTTGTGAGGATCTGTCCATGGATTTTGTTCTCGGTCTTCCGCGAACACAACGTGGTGCGGATTCTATTTTTGTTATTGTTGATAGGTTTTTGAAAATGGCGCATTTTATTCCTTGCAGGAAAACACATGATGCCAACAATATTGTTCAACTATTCTTTCGCGAGGTAGTTCGTCTCCATGGTGTGCCAAAGTCTATAGTTTCCAATCGCGATAGCAAGTTTCTAAGTTACTTTTGGAAGTCTCTTTGGAAACGGCTGGATACAACTTTACAGTATAGTACTACTTGTCATCCCCAAATCGATGGTCAAACAGAGGTAGTGAATCGTACATTGGGAAATATTTTGCGAAGTTTGTGTTAAGAAAGTCCAAGGCAGTGGGATTTTGTTATTTCTCAAGCAGAGTTTGCTTATAACAATGTGCCAAACCGTTCAACCGGAAAGTCTCCATTCGAGATTGTTTATGTTCGATCCCCGCTGCATACCTTAGATTTGGTTCCTCTTCCCAAGCTTCCAGGAATGAGTATCATTGCTGATCATATGGTGGAAAAGGTGGCCAACATTCATGCAAATGTTCGAAAGAAATTGGAAGAATCAGCTGCGAAGTATAAAGCCGCCGCAGATGTACATCGACGAGTGAAAACTTTTGAAGTTGGTGATATGGTAATGGTTCACTTGCACAAAGAGAGGTTTCCAGTAGGCACATACAGTAAGCTTAAATAGAAGAAGATTGGTCCTATTCGCATTTTGAAGAAGATTAATGATAATGCTTATGTGGTGGATCTTCCAGAAGATTTAGCCATCTCCAAAACTTTCAATGTCCAAGACTTATTTGTGTATTATACGACTCC